AGTGAATACTAACTAACAATACGATGAGCAACTGTCAACATGTAACCCCAACCCTAACCCTAACCCTAACCCTAACCCTAACCCTAACCCTAACTGGGAAATCAGGAAACTAAACTAAACAAAAAGAAGAAGAAACTGTACTATGAAACAGATAAATTATATAAAGAATGATAGTAAAAAGCTCTAGAGTACCTTAAATGAAATTCTAGGCAAAAAGGCGAACTCAGCTCCATCCTTCATTGAGGCAGATGGCTTGTTCATAACAAAACCCTTTGATATTGCCAACCACTTGAATAACTATTGTGTTGAAAAGGTAGGTATGACATGCAAACAACAAACGCTGAGCCTTCATATTCATACATAATGGACCAAATAATGAAAGACAAGCACTGTAGTTTTGAGTTCCGCAAAGTGGGTGTGGAAGAGGTGAAAAAATAGTTACTATGTATAAATAAGGATAAACCACCTGGTACCGACAACCTGGATGGTAAATTACTGAGGTTGGTAGCGGAATACATTGTGACTCCTGTTTGCCACATCTTCAATTTAAGCCTAGAAGACGGTGTGTGTCCTCAGGCCTGAAGGGAGGCAAAGGTCATCCTGTTACTCCTGAGTGGCGCAGTGGTCTAAGGCACTGCATCGCAGCGTTAACTGTGCCACTAGAGATCCTGGTTCGAATCCAGGCTCTGTCGCAGCCGGCCGTGACTGGGAGACTCATGGGCGGCGCACAATTTGTCCAGGGTAGGGGAGGGAATGGCCGGCAGGGATGTAGCTCAGTTGATAGAGCATGGTGTTTGCAACGACAGGGTTGTGGGTTCGATTCCCACGGGGGGCCAGTATAAAAAAATATGTGTTCACTAACTGTAAGTCGCTCTGGATAAGAGCGTCTGCTAAATGACTAAAATGTAAATGTAAAAATGTTACCCAAGAATAGCAGAGCACCTTTTAATGGTTCAAACAGCAGACCAATCAGCCTGTTACCGGTGCTTAGCAAGCTTTTGGAAAAAATGGTGTTTGACCAAATACAAAGTTTTTACAGAAAACAAATTAACAACAGACTAGACTTTCAGCATGTCTATAGGGAAGGGCACTCAACATGCTCAGCACTGACTCAAACAAATGACTGATGATTGGCTGAAAGAAATCAATAATAAGAATATGTGGGAGCTGTTTTGTTAGACTTCAGTGCAGCTTTCGATAGCATTGATCATAACCTATTGCTGA